TAGATAATGTAAAGGCAATTTGCTGAAAATTTCATTCAAATTGATCCACTATGAACCGAGAACTAAGCGAATGAAATTTCTGCCTAGCCTCGGTCATCATTACTAAAGTCAGTACGATAAACAGCATAGTCTCGGTTGTCCATTTAATCGTTTAATCGTGAAGGAAAGTTATGCAGTAAATCGGCTCACAATCCACTAAAGATCGCGGGCTAGTGATGCCATCTAGAGTTGATTATGGTCTGGATAGGTTTATTAAGGTTTAATTAATAATTTAGATAACATGCCAGGCCTAAAGAAAGACCTGCAATAGGCAGATTTAGCTCTTGCATAATGTATGTTTGAATGAACAATAATATAGTTCTATTCCCCAACTGGATGATCAGAAATGTCAAGTACATGACAAGGAGTAGGGTCCCTCATAGCACACTGTATGGAGTATGCCCGTCTTCATTAACCCAGGTTAGGAGCAGAACACTAGGACGTTAAACCCCATTTCATTTCATTAATGGTAATTTAGATTAAAATGTCTTAAATAGGTAAATAAGCTGCATGGAAAAGTTTGGCGATGACCACTAGAGGAAACAGATACATGCATGACAATGGAAAAAATAAATCATGAATGATCTGCTTATTAAAGATAACCCATGACAATCAGGGGCGTGCTGGCAGGGAGTTTAGGAGAACGGTGTCCTCCCAGGCCCCCATTAAACAATAAGTCCACCCGTATAAGCGGGCCCCCCTGAGAGCTCTAATTTTCACGCGGAATCCCCTCAAAAAATTGAGAGTGCGCACGCGAAAAATCATACATACACAACGATTAGTAAAATATATTATGCTGACGTGCAAATGTCTGTCACCTTAAGGTGATGTCATATAGTCAAAATAGCAGCATAAATTTGGAAAATATGATATCTAGATTTCTCAGGAGTGCTTGCAAAACGCGTTTCCCGTTGTCAAATTTCAAAAAAAAAAATTTTTTTTTTGGGGGGGGGGGGGGAGAACCCACCCAGACCCCACCCAGACCCCACCCAGACCCCCTACCAGCGGTGCGCCTTCGGCGCGCGGGTCGCGGCCCCTTCGTGGTCCGTCCTCCCGGGCCCCATCGGGGCCAGTACGCCCCTGAATTGACAATTAGCAAAAAATACACAATATACCCTGGTTTATTTCCAGTGTGTGTCCTTCAGGACTATACTGGCGTCCCTCGGGACTATACTGGTGTTCCTCAGGACTATACAGAGGAATGTTAGCAATGAAAGCAGTTTAAAGATACATTATGGGAGTTTAGACAAAGAGCTGGTAGTTCTCACTATAATAGTTAAAAACTTACTGAAAATTTCAGTCAAATTGATCTACGCTGAACCGAGAATTTAGCGATTGAATTTTCGGTCTAGCCTCAATCATCAGTACTAAAGTCGGTACGATAAAAAACATAGTCTCGATTATCCATTTCATGATTTAATTATGAATGGAAGTCCAGCAGCAAATCGGATCCTAATCCAGAATATATCGCAGGCTAGCGATGACATCTAGAGTTGATTATGGTCTGGATAAGTTAATTAATGTCTAATTAATAATTTAAATAACATTTCAGGCCTAAAGAAAGGCATGCAATAGGCAGATTTATCTCTTGCATAATGTATGTTTAAATACATGTCAAAGCAGATGCAATAACAACTGATTCTTATAAAACATACATTATACAAGAGCTAAATCTGCCTATTGCAGCCCCGTCACCCTTTCTACACGCCAATAGGTAGAATTGTTGTCTTTTACATTCGTTTCCTCGTTGTAAGACAAGCATTGGCGATAGTAGATAAAGACCCGTACGCGCAAGCGAATTATTGAAATACAATTAACCACCTTAGTCCCGAAATGACCTAGTTTGTGTCGAATGGACGCTAAACCCCATTTCTCTCTCTTTCTCTAAGGGGGTTATATGGCCGAATGATTAGAGTGTGCGCACTTTACCATAAGGTCTGTCATTGAGTTCAGCTGGCGTGGTTTCGATTCCCCGGATGTACGTGACAAGGAGTAGAGTCCCCCGGTTTCCTCCCACTGCTAAAGACCCCCACGCGCAAGCGAATTATTGAAATAAAATTGAACCATATGTTAGTCCCGAAATGAACTAGTTTGTGTTTGTGTCGAGTGGACGTCTCCCCCCCCCCACTATCTATCTCTCTCTCTCTCTCTCTCTCTTTCTCTCAATGTAATTGAGAAATAAGCGTCCCTATGGACATAAGTTAACTCACCTTGCAGGTTTGTCCGTGGTTGACTGTAGATTGTAAGAACAGTATGGCGTCTGTGAATTATCTGCTGGGTGTAATGATATCAATGACTGCCAGTCACCATCCGTGATGAAATTGATCCGTCAATCAAGAGAAACTAACACACAACTTTCAACCATTGCACATGCGTCTTATACAAATAGTTACTCTGACATCAGAAATTACAAGGTAGAGTTTGTTAATATGTAAAACGGAACATTGGAGGGACTCGCGAACTAGACGAGGGGCGGGTTAGTCGGATCACCTACCGAGGGACCCGCGAACTAGACGAGGGGCGGTTAGTCGGATGCACTACCGAGGGACCCGTGAACAAGCTTAGAGGTGGGTTAGTCGGATGCCCTACCAGGGTCCCGCGAAGAAAGAAGAACAAGCTTAGAGGTGGGTTAGTCGGATGCCCTACCAGGGTCCCGCGAAGAAAGTAAGGGGCGTGTAAGTTGGGAGGCCTACCGAGGGACCCACGAACTAGACGAGGGGCAGGTTAGCCGGGTGACCTACCGAGGAACCCACGAACAAACTTAGAGGCGGGTTAGTCGGATCACCTACGCAGCGACCCGCGAACACACTTAGAGGCGTGTAAGTTGACGACCTACCGAGGGACCCGCGAACATGTTTAGGGGGGGGGGGGGTGTAGTTGGGAGACCTACCGAGGGACCCTTGAACAATTTTAGGGGCGTGTAATTTGGAGACTTACCGAGGGACCGCGAACAAGCTTATGGGCGGGTTAGTTGGGTGACCTACCAAGGGACCCGCGAACAAGGTAAGGGCGGGTTAATTGACCGTTTAGTTCTAGAAAATCCCTCGAGAAATGAAATGGGGCTTACTTTCTGACCCAATCGGGCTAAAGAGGATGATGGGGATCGTGACCCGACAGCGGCGCTACGGTTTACTTTCATTTCGATTTCCGTTTGTTAGGGGATCTTTTAAAGCCTTCTGTCAATGGTATATAAATGACGTCGGTGTTTCGTACCATACGAAAGACTTGGCGCTAATCCGTTCTTCACCTCTGACAGGGGAATCAGGATGTAACATACCGTGGAACTTTCTCGGCATCGGGATGGAACCCAGCACCTTATTCCCCGAGGCACCTTGCCTACAATCCATTGAGAAGTAGGGTTGTAAACATTATCTATGACAATAGTCGGGGAAGTGCCACATTTGTCAACACAACATTTACAGGAAATGGTACTTTTCTCCCGACAACATTTGCCGTAAATGATACTTTTGGCTGACAACATTTGCCGTAAATGATACTTTTCGCCGATAACATTTGCCTGAAATGGTACTTTTCGGCCGACAACATTTGCCGGAAATGGTACTTTTCTCCCAATAACATTTGCCGGAAATAGTACCTTTCTCCCGATAACATTTGCCGGGAATAGAACCTTTCTCCCGATAACATTTGCCGGGAATAGTACCTTTCTCCCGATAACATTTGCCGGGAATAGAACCTTTCTCCCGATAAAATTTGCCGGGAATAGTACTTTTCTCCCGATAACATTTGCCGGGAATAGTACTTTTCTCCGCATAATTGATGGGAAATTAACTTTCTTCGCAACATTAGCCGGAAATAGTACTTGTCCCCGCAATTGTTACCGGTAATAGTATTTCCCTCTGTAACATTTACCGAAAATAGTACTTTTCTCCGAAAAATAGATGGGGAAATGGTATTTTTCGCTTCAAAATTCCCCGCAGCATTAGCTGGAAATGGTATCCCCACCCTCCGCCCTCCAAACCTTACCAGATATAGTACTTTTCACCCGCAAAATTTACCTGAGATATAGTACATTCCTCTGCAAAATTAACGGGAAATTCTACTTTTCGTAGAACATTCTGCAAATATGTTTAGTTGGCAATCGTTCACTTTTTGTTCAAGCCCCTCTTCTCTGGAACAAACTACCTCGAAATATTAGAACCTGTGGCGATTAAAATAATTGACATTGGTGATAACGTTTTGAGGTTCTGGCGATTGTTTTGAACAAGTAGAGGAAGAAAATCGCTAAATTTTGATTCAAGTTTATCCCAGATTGGCCATTACCTTGCGGGGGGGGGGGGGGGTGTCGCCGAATGGTTAGCAAGTGCGCGCTGTATAATAAGGCCCGTCATTGAGTCAACTGGCGTGGTTTCGATTCCCCGGTTGTACTCGACAAGGAGTAGGGTCGTCTGTCCAGCCTCTTGGGTTTTCTCCGGGTCCTCCGGTTTCCTCCCACTGCTGAAGACCCCTACGCGCGAGCGAATTATTGAAATAAAATTAAACCATATTGGGTGGGATACAACGCGCACGTGCTAACCATTCAGCCACCCAATCCCCCCAAAATGGCTGACAATTCTTTTCAAAGAAAACTGAACATTTTGACAGTTAAATTTCGTTTACCGTGGCTTCATACGGTTTGTAAAACATACAAGCATGCCTAACTGTTCATTAATATTTTAAATTCTATTATCAACATGGACTGGAAACGGGGGTTGGATGGCCGAATGGTTAGCACGTGCGCGCTGTATCATACGGTCTGTCATTGAGTCAACTGGCGGGTTTCGATTCCTCGGTTGTACGTGACAAGGAGTAGGGTCGCCTGTCCAACCTCGTGGGTTTTCTCCGGGTCCCCCGGTTTCCTCCAACCATGTGTTAGTCCCGAAATGACCTAGTTTCTCTCTGTCTTCGATCCCTGCATTGGCCGAGAAAGTTCATCCCGATTTTCCGGCGTGGTTCCCCCTTGTCAGTGATGCAGGACGGAGGGCTTGACAAGGACAGCTGTCTAGTCATTCGGATGAGACGAAAAACCGAGGTCCCGTGTACACATTTGCATACACGTAAAAGATCCCTTGATAGTTGGAATTCGATACAAGAGTAGGCCGTAGTGCCGCTGTCCGGGCAAAATTTCCCTCATAGCACACTGTATGGCGTATGCCCATCTTCATTAGCCCAGTTCGGAGCAAGACAGTAGGACGTTAAACCCCATTTCATTTCATTTTCATTTCTCTCTCCCTCTCTCTCTCTATCACCATGGACGGGAAAGGTAAGAACGATTCCAACAATGGACTACCATTATTTTGAATACCGCCGCTAAAATGTTCTAAACTGAACGACGAGTTTGATGTAAGACTGAAATTCAGATTGTGATGACATCACGGTATCTGAAAATAACAATAGGACTATTATACACTCGAGACGTTCATTTACAGAAATCTAGAAATTTTTCGGTTCTTGGATGAGATTTGATATTAATTTAAAGAAAACTAGAAATTTTACGATCCTTGGCGTGTAAATACAGATCATATATATATATATATATATATATATATATATATATATATATACAGTGTATAGAGAAATGGGGTTTAACGTCCACTCGACACAAACTAGGTCATTTCGGGACTAACATATGGTCTAATTTTATTTCAATAATTCGCTTGCGCGTAGGGGTCTTTAGCATTGGGAGGAAACCGGAGGACCCGGAGAAAACCCACGAGGTTGGACAGGCGACCCTACTCCTTGTCACGTACAATGACAGACTTTATGATACAGCGCGCGCACGCTAACCATTCAGCCATCCACCCCCCCTCAGAGCATATATACAGTCACCAACAATCACCAAATATATAACACGTGTTTATTAATAAAACACACACGAAAGCCAGCGTGGGCCAATAGGAGCATGTAATGTGGACAATATTTCAAAAATAACTTTAAGCTATGACTATAAGTATCATGTCTAAAGTTTGTTACGTCCATGTTGGTAAACGAGGTTGTTAAATAACTGGTCTCAATCCGATTTCTAATTCAGGGGCAAATAACTCGTCTGAAACCGATTCTCTTTCAGTAGAGATAATAATACCAAGGTGAGAAACGGGTTGGTATTAAATAATTGGGATCAAAGTTTACTACTCTAGATTCCATCAACCAGTGGCAATACTCACCAATTTTCGCTAGGTAGACACTTGCGTCTACGATGACATTTTAAAATTATCCAAGTGACCCTCTTTAAGTCACGTGGATAATTTTTAACCGTCATTGAACCACATGTTAGTCCAGAAATGACCTAGTTTATGTGGAATGGATGTTTAACCCCATGTCCCTCCCCTCCCACTTTGTGTTGTGCTGTGGTATTATCCTGGACCCTGTTTCTTGAAATCTTAACTAAAGATAAAATCCAAATTTTAGTAGATACTTCAATTTTGATTGGCTAAGCACTAAAATCAATCTAATATTAACCAATCCAATTACTAAAATATGGATTTTATCTGAGTTAAAATTTCGTGAAACAGGCCCCTGACCTCTAAATTTAACCCCGTTTTCACAAGCCCCAGTCGGTATAGAAAACTAGGACGATAAATCCCCATTTTATTTCATTTCTTTCAACCTTTATTCTAGCTTGTTTGTGGCTTTAACCTCGCTATTTTAAAATAGCGAGTCCGTGGTATTTCGACATTGTTAACGAGACATGAGCGATTTGACATTTTCACCTGTCGACAGAAGAATTAATGTCGGATTTGCCGAGCTAAGATTATACCTGTTAACAACGGCTTCAAATTAGACCGATTCTATAACTTGAGACAAATCTACGAAATCACGGATCACAGACAGGTGTTTGGGAAGTTGAGTTTTGATACCAAATCGACAGTGGTGTACCGGGTTGGAGTGACCAGATCGGAAATGAAATGAAATGAAATGGGGTTTAACGTCCTACTGTTCTGCTCCTATGCTGGGCTAATGAAGACGGGCATACGCCATACAGTGTGCTATAAGGGAAATTTTGCCCGGGCAGCGGCACTATCGAATACTCTTATATCGAATTCCAACTGCCAAGGGATCTTTTACGTGCATTCCAATGTATACATGGGACCTCGGTTTTTCGTCTCATCCGAAGGACTAGACAGCTGTCCATGTCAGGCCACCAGATTAGGGTTAGTGCTAAATGATAAGGCCAGCTCAATTTTTCGTAAAGCAAACAACATATCAAACCCTACCCCTAATCCTTAGCAAATAAAATCAACTAGTTATGAGAATCCCTAGCTCTAAATCCAACCCTTCGTAGGAAAAATACTAATGTGGCCTCAAATTTATTCTTTTTTTTTATTCAGAAACCAAAATATCA